TAAGCTGCAAAATAAATGTAACTATTTAATAATGATGATTGGTTTGATTTTTACTTTTGAGATTTTTTTATTTTAGTTTTTTAACTTTTTCAAAAATTCACAATTCATGATTCATTTTTGCTAAACTAATTTCTAGCCTATTTGGCAACGATCACTGCATTAATGTGTATAAGAAGTTTTCAATATTTTATTCCTAAAAAATGTTGATATTGCAAGAAATAAGATGTAAGGCTTGCAGTTGTTAAATGATTATTATCCTACATTCACACATGCGATAATAAGCTTACTGTGTTAGGCTTTTAGGATTAACATTGTAAATCTTTGATCCGCCAAATTTTCAAAACCTATGTTGCCGCTCATCGGTTTCCTAATTCTTGAAAATCTGTGTTTTGATAACATTTTAAAATCTAACAAAGATTATGTTTTCAATAATATTTCGGTTAAAGTTAACAGTAAGACTGAACCATAATTATTTTTAGTGATAATATAAACGTTTAAATAATTTTAAATTTTAGAAAAATAATCCACAGTGATTAATTATCACCGATAAAACTGTCACTGTTTGATTTCTTTATAAACAATTTCACTTCACAATCGCTTACTATACTCATTATTTTCTGAATTAAACAAAACAAAGAGAATTTTAAAAAAAGTTTATGCAAAAATATTCCTATTATTTGCACACCGCATTTTTCTTCTTTTTTTGTTTGTATTGTTTATAGCTATGTTTGTTTTTCTCTTTCCTTTGTTAGCAGTAATTTTAGTAAAGTAAGAAAAATTAAGAAATAAGGAAAAGAGCGAAACAAATTTGTTATTTTAGAATACAGCAAAATTTTAGTCATCAAAAAGGGTATATGAGTTTAATTAAATTTCTTTAGTCTTTAAAACTTGTCAAGATTTAATATATCTAGAGTGTGGTAAATTTTAGACATAACTAATTTAATAAATTACAAAGTTATAAACTCAGTGAGCCTAACACTCCTATAAATGACTAAGTTAGGAACTCAGATAATATGATAAAGTATAAAGCATTTCACCTGCGTATTTAATTAATCATTTTTCAACTTAATACGGTGCCAAAGATTATTAAAAGCAATTCTTACATCGTAATAATGAAAATGGTTTGGCAAAGCATCATCATTTGTGAAATCTATAGAAATATATATCTATAGAAAAAGATTGTTTGTTTCGATATAAGCCTGAAAAGATTTTTGCTGTAAAATTATAAGCATAATTAATCCCAGTTCTTAATCTTACTTGCTTATTTACTTATTAGTACAGATTAGCCTCCATTGCTTTTTATTCCTAATTATTTTAAATGACTCGTCAGTTCAATTACTTATTGGTGATTACTTGAAGTTAATGATCAGTTTTCAGAAAACGATACTTTGGTTTACGCTGTGGTATGTTCGCTGCATCATATCATCTTTCTTACATAACTATAGTATTATCACGATTTTTTCATTTATGATGATACCATTGGTTGTCAGTTAGGTATCCTATTAGATAACATTTTAGGTCGTGTCAATGCCAAACAATTCATCTTGCACAGTATGGATTAAAATCAAAACAATAAATTAGAAAATAACGTTACAAAATCACGATAAAAAAAATGCTCACTTTTTTGTTTTATCTAATTCTACTATCATATTTACGTTTGCGTTCATCTCACGTATATTTTCACTTCTTCAAAATTTGCACTCGTAAAATCGGCAAATTTAGAAAGAAAACAAGGCGAAAAAAGAAGATTGTTGATAATTTTTCAAATTTTCCTGTGGTATCATTTTCAGAATATTGGAAAATGCCAAATTTTAATGAACTACCGAAAGTGATCTTTGTTTTAGGACCTCCAGGATCTGGTAAAGGAACGCTATGTATGAAATTAGAAAAAGTTAGCATGTTTACATTTTCGGAATATATAATCTAACAAAACAAAATAAGATGAGTTATGGAATTATTTCTGAAATTTATGTCTATACGTTGAGGAAGCCAAGACGCCTGAAGTTTTTTTGAATTTTTGTCTTGTGTTCTGAAGTGTTTATGTTGAAATGTCTTAATGATTTTTTAGTATAATGATATTTTAGTTTTTAAATAATAAGGCATGAGATAACTTATTGAATATAATCAAAATTTCCAATTAAATCATCATGACACTTCAAAAGAAAGCTATTACAGAATTTCGGTTTGAAACATTTGAGTGCCGGCGAATTGCTGCGGACTGAACGGAAACGTGAAGGTTCTCAATATGGTCAAGTTATTGAGTCACATATCCTCAATGGCACTATTGTTCCCGTTGAAATTACTTGCAAACTCATCGAGAATGTAGGTTATTTCAGTGACCAATTATTACCTCATCATTTTGCTTTTCTGCTTAACTTTATTTTTTTAGCTGCGATATTATCTTTACTCATAACTTTAAATTTTTAGTAAATTTAAGATTTAATGACTGCTTACTGCTTTAAAAATGTATTTTGGGATCTCGATGTGGCTTGAACTGCAAATCAAAAAGTGTATGGTAAATCACATATCAAAACAACGAATGGAAGTAAATTGTAGGGTTAGAATGTTATTAAATACATCAGAAGCGAAAATTATGATCGTAAACTTCAATTTTTTATTGCTTGATTATATTACTGTTTTTAGGCAATGAATAATTCGCCATCTGCAAAAGCATTCTTGATTGATGGTTATCCACGGAATCAAAATAATGTAGAAGGATGGGAACGTATGATGGGATCAAAAGCAAAAGTTTTATTTATATTATATCTACATTGTCCAGATGATGTACGTGGTTGCTTTTCTATTATTTTCAACACTTGATAGTCTCAAGCTCTTTATTAGTTTTTAAGGACTTTCGAGTTTAAATGTGATTTTTTTGCAAAAGTTCTGCATCCTGCTCATTTCATGATTTTATGCTTTGCTAAAAAACTCAAGCACTAAATTTTCAGATCTGTATAGAAAGATGTTTGAATCGAAATGAAGGACGTTCTGATGACAACGAAGAGTCATTACGTAAAAGGATTGAAACATATTATACACAAACTATACCAATCATAGAGCATTACAAGGCGAAAAATCTTGTACAGCAAGTATTAGCAGCGGCATCACCAGAGCAGGTATTTTTCTAAATTAAAAAACATTAACCCGGGATTAAATAATTTGTATTTTTAGGAATAAATTTAATGAGGTCCAGGTGACTGTTGATGAGATCCAGGTGACTGCTAAAATGGCTTTGTAATTGTAGAAAAAACTCTGAAAAAAGATCTCGAAATTAAAAAGTAGTCTTATCCATAGTCACATACTATTTCTGAAGTTAGTTGTATTTCCGTATGAAGTGAATTTAGAGTTCAGTCACTTATTGATTTTCAGCAAATTTAGAAATCCTTCAGACCCAACTATTATTTTCTCCATGTTTCAGGTTTACGAAGAAGTGAAAAAAATTATCGAAAACTTCAGCATGTAAGAGTGTTGTTTAATACCGCCCTATTAGCTTCTTTGTTCTTTGTTGTGTTTTTATATATTTTATATCCTCCCGTAATTCTTTAAAAATCTATACTATCATTATTCACTAATTTCATGACAGCATCTAATTAATTTCATAATATTCGGCGCCGACTATTCTTTTCATTTCAAATGTTGTGCAATGTTAGGAAACCTTTTTTCCGCATAGAGGAAAACCATGCATCCACTTTGTTGATGATTCTGATTTGTTACACATCCTCGAAAGGCATATTTTTCTAACAGCAATAAAAAAATTATCAAGTAACCTCTAAGACATAAAAAGCTAGCTCTATTTGAAATCCATCTGAAAAAAAAATTTATGTATTTGGAAAGCTTTTGCTATGTTGACATATCTTCATCATGTTCAAGTCTATTGGCAATTCATCAATTTACATAAATGTAGTGTATGATATTCGCATGTTTCTATTCCCTATGTTTTTTTTTCTTCACATAAAAACTTTTGATTCTTAATGCTAATTTTGTGTAGTCATTCCCTGCCTGTTCTAGAAATGATTTTTTTGTTTCAATCTATAAAAGATGCATAAATGGAAGTGTAAAACTGGTGACCTTTTACATCAAAGTTAGGATATGATAAAATGCGCAAGGCTTGAAAAATTCTTAGTTTATATAGTACAAAGTTTTGGTTTACATTTTTCCAAACCTTAAATTCAAATGAGAAAGACTAAAGGGTTTTTTTTCTTATCAAGTTTGCTTTAATTATTTGATAAATCATAGTTGTAAAACTCTATATGGGAGATGTGGTAGCCAATATTCAATAATTTGATCTTCTGAGAAAAATTTCTGCAAATGAACAATGTCTAGAAAGAGAGAGTGGTATTTTATTAGCCAACGTATAACAAAAATTATCATTTATGAATTGCATATCTGTTTCCCTGGGCATCTTCTGTTGTTTTCCCTGAGTCTTGATTGCCATTTGGCTTAATGGCCCAACTTGGTATCTCACTCGAATAGCACCATTCACTAGTCTGATATCTGAGGCAATGCAGATGTAACATCATATGTTCAGGTGTGATATCTTTCTTCTTCACGTTGCATTGCATACATATAGGATCGTATTCCTCGCGCGTTTTTGTATCCAGTCCTTCTGACTCCGGTTGTACCTAAAATGGATTATAATTTACTCAATCCGGGACTTGAAAATTGCAACTTAAAAATTAAGTCATGGAGTTGCTGATAAAAGTTATCACTTCTGAACCTGATTAAACAAGAACATCAGGAATTTACAAGTTTTAGTATATTCTCTTAGGAAGAACCTCCAAAATTCAGTTTTGAAATCACCTCTCCTTCAGCAATTCTTTGTATTCTGATCTCATACTCAGGGTCTACATATTCGTGCCAGTTAGACGCTTTATGCTCTTCTAGAACATCTTTTTGAAGCTGAAAAGAGAGGAATTGAATTTAATAAAATATAAATGAAAATCGTAACGACAAACATTAAGATCTTGCTCATACATGTTCCCCACACATTTCTTACAAATTTTTAAGTTGTTGGAAAAGTTTGGAAATAAAAGGAAGTACCTGTTCCAGTGATTTCCCATAATTTCCATCCTTGCCTTTCGTTTCACCCCAAGCAGCAGTATTGTAAATATAATCATCTACTATTGGATAACCTGAAAAAATGATAACATATGAATGAAGATTCTATATTACAAATAAAATCAGTCAGAATGAAATACTAACTGATAACACAAAATTTATTTTTAAAAAGCTAACCCAAATATTGCAAGTGAACACGAATTTGATGAGTACGGCCAGTTTCTAGCATACAGCGGACGATCGATGTTTGACCATCCGTCCATAAACGCAAAAAACGGCTTCGAGCACATTTGCCATCATCACGAATGCATTGAATACCCATCGAAACAACAAGCGGTCCAATGGGACGATCACAAACAATCTCTTTATCTCTTCAAAAAAATAAATAGAAATATGAACGATTTGATTTAAAAATTACCAGTAGTACACTTCAACCTTTGACCGTTGTAAGCAATGATAGGTTCAACAATGGAATACATTAATGATATGCTCAACTACAAATTTCTAAGTCATGTGTTCGATAAATGTTGACAAGCTCGAAATATCGCATTTTTGATAAATTATATTATCAATTCTCCTTAAGGTAAAGAGTCAAGAAGACGAAATTAAGACTTTTTACAGAGTAAGAGCAGTTTACTGCTTTACAAGAAATCTGTCAACTTAAAATGAACATGCTTCAGTTCACTACTTGCAAAAGGAAGCAATTCTTTCCTCTTATTCCAATTTTACAATTTTAGATTAGCTCGTCAATTTTCAAATACAGTTAAAAAACAAAAAGAAATTTACTTACGCCGGGAAAACACCTTCAACTTTACAAAGATACTCTTTATGTTGTATTTCACCAACACGCAACATCTTTTTTAGCTAAAAACAAATACGAATTCGTTTTTTTTCAACATTGGTACATTAAAATTGTCTAGCAACTACGAACAAATTCAATTAAAAGTTTTTCAAAATTATTAATAATCCAGAAAATTGTGCGTAACATAATATTATTTTCCCACTCTCTTGTACATTGGTTTTAGCCACTTTCAATTCTATTTCAAATTCTAACTAATTTTCTAATCTTTCCCAAAGCACTTTCGATGCCTCAATTTACTGCTCCATTTATGAAACTGCTAATGTCATAAGAGCTTATGTTCTAGACAAGTTAAACAGAGAAGTATATCAACTAAATTTTTAAAATGTGATGAACTGGAGTTGTAAGACAAAAGTTAACCTTAATATCAGTTTCAGCATTTCTAGCAAACAGCAACACACCGGATGTTGTTCGATCCAACCTATGCACAACTATAAAACAAAAGTTTGTTAAATATAAAAGTTAAATATATATCATACATTAAAATATATTAAATAATTTGTAAATTCAAAAAATGAATTCAAACCAAATATATTCATAACCGATAAACACAGCTAACAAGAAAAAGTTTGTTTAGTTTTCAAAGCAACAGAGTAAAAATCTTTTTCATGAGGTAGTGCAAAATAAAAGCAGGGAAAATATTCCATCTCACGCTTAGATGAAAAGCTGCTAAAATAAGTTTTGTGGTAAAACTCAAAAATAAACTCCAACCGTCCCAGCTAAGATCAAAGTATGATAGTGGTGTAATCCCAAAATACATACCAATATTTTGGGATTACACCACTATTCTATAATTTTTTTCTAATCAAACAATGTTCCTGTATTAAATTCGCAACAGTGCATAAAATTTGCTTTCATAATAGGAACAAAGTTTCTGGAAAAAACACTTACCTCTAAGACCACGGAGGCCTCGCTGTTCCCGTAGCATTCCCAAAACTGTGTGCACACTATACCTACCGCATGGATGTACAGGCATACTTGGTGGCTTATTCACCACCAGGATGTTAGTATCGTTATAGATCACTCTGATGTAATGGTCCAAGATGGGATGTTCGTGGCGATGCCCTATATGCTCAATCGAATCATTATGTTGCACAATGTAATTAACATTCGTCATCTGATTGCAGTTTACCCAAATACGACCTAATTTACATGCTGCTGCCTGCAATAAACCTAAGAAAATCCGTATAATCCTATATACCTAAGGAAATCCAATAAGCCTAACAATATCCTGTAACTCTGTAAGGAAATCCGTACAATAAATGGAAATTTGAACTCATATATGCAAGGATTTTTTAATGACATATAGACATTTCGTGAATATGATTTTTCGTGAATAACACAATATTGAGTTGAAAATTAATTTTTGTAATTTTCCTTTGATAGTATAAAAGCCTGAGACTTAGAATTTCGATAAAATTTCAAGAAAAGTGAATATGATTACAGGGTAATGCGGGCTCAATGAAACAAATTCCTCTGCAAAAATATCGATCAAACGACGTCCAACCCATCGCCCTTTAGCCCATGTGCGATAAACACTCCAGTACGGGTTTAAATAACGAATGCCTACAAATTCGAAATCAAGACACAATCACTCTACTCAACTCTGATTGGTAATTTTTTGAACTGTTTATCAGAATATCTATCAATGTCTATCAAATATCTATCTATCAATGTTAATCAGAATATCTATCAAATGTATAAAAAAAAATCTATCAATAAATCAATATCAATGGTAATATTTACACCAATTACGTTCACCGTTTCGAGCAGAATAAAAGAAAAAATAGTAAGGAGCATTTTATTTCCGAAAGGATTTTATATGAAAACGAAATAAATTCCTCAAAAAATGCACTAAAAACATGTACAAAAAATCAAACCATTTTTAATATAAAAACTGATGTTTTCTGGCATTTCATCAAGCGCATCTATCTCGTCGTGCTTGCGTTTCTTCGCTTTACGACTCTGTAAAAGGAAACTGAGTCTAAAATGCATGAGCTTCAGTTCAAATGCATTCAAGTTAGATTTAATAAAATTTTAGTGCAACATATGATATTGATGCAGCGTATGATTACAGATTAGCAAGCACTACATCACACGAGTGATAAATATTTGACAAACTATGAGCTATATCACTGTAACATAAGCAGTAAAACGTGCATTAAGGCAGCAGCACGTGATAATCCATTACACATAGATCATATGTGTACCCCTAATGAAAGCAATATCAATATTATGCAGTCTCAATAATGACTTATATCTGTAGCACTCATGACTTACATTTTTTCCCATTCAACGACTAACTTTGCAAATGATTAAATCATAAACGTTTTATGTCATCTTTCACATCTGAAATATTCTTGTATAATTAATAATATGGACTTTTTTAACAATAAAAAACTGAAATTCTTTAAAACACAAAGATTTCTTCCAATTATTAAAATCTCAATTTAATAAGAATAAGAGTGGCATGCAAAAACCGAAAACACACTACTGCGAGAAGTTTTGAAGTGCTCCCATCAAAGATTGATACAATATTGAAAATATCATGTACTATGAAGAGCTTTCATAAGATTGATAAGATTTGAAATATAATAACAATAGAGATTGAGAGAATCAGTAAAACATAACTCATATTGTTTAGGAATCACCTAAAGCACACAAAAGTAAAAGAAAAAGACGTGTCTCATCATATCCAACAACCAATGAATTCGATGTCAATTTGCAATTAATGTGAAAAGACGGCCGTAAGAACGGAAATGTGACATGAAATGAAAAAAGATGTATACCTTAAAATTGGAACGAATATTTAATTATTTGAATAATTTCATATGCTACATCTAAATTTTAATGGTAACAAATAATTAAACATTCTTCGCTCTCATGGAAACATTTTCTTTTTTTTTACTAACTTGCCTGTTTTATATATTTTTTTCACACTCTGTGGCTAAATTGGTGGTTCGGTACTTAGCTGCTCGATATTTATAACTTACTTTTTTTATTCACAAATTTTATTTACAAATTCTTCAAGATTATCTTTTGTTTGTTCTTGTCATGCATAATTTGTAAAATTTGGATTTTGAAGAAGTTGGACAGTATTCTTTTCTTTGCATGATATAAATGGTATATGGATCCGATATACTTATTTGATATTAAAAACCAGTTGATATTTTTGGTACCAATTCAATAAGTGATAATTTAGATGTAATGATGATAGATCTTTTTCATGTAAAATTACATATTTTAAATATGGGAAAATTTTATCTTTGTTTATTTATGCATTAAAAGAGATACAATTGCTAATATTTGGTACAAGCAGTTCTAACGATGACATTTGACATATAGCAATAATATCATGGGTATTGAACAGTTTTTATTGCTCGTATGGCAAGAAATTTACACAATCCTGTGCCCAGTTTTTTTTTTGATTTCAATTCATCAAATTTTTTTCACATTTTTTTGATTATCATAGAATTATTCGATTCCTTTTGAATATCACGATATTAATTCAATAAAATTTCACTATATCCATATTGGCTATGTTAACACTAAATTAAGAAAGATTATACGCTCGACGAATGGTGAAGGGAAGTTGAAAAATATTTGATTAAAAATTTAGTTATATCATTTTTATTCGACAAATTTGTGCTAATTTTAGTTCTTATTACTGTCTTTCATTGTCATCGTTTGATTTACCTAAATGATTAATTAATAAACAAGCGCTGGAAAAGTTGCATTTTCAATGTTTCGTTGCATTCGAATTTTGAAACTTACAGGTTTTAATAAATAATGACTGAGGTATGATGGAAAATGATGAAATGGAAGAAGAAAAGCGAAAAAATGAAGATAATGAGGGATAAACTATAAGGAGTGTGATTATTCTCGCATTTTTTTCCTTTTTTTCTCACTAAGTCATTTTTGGTTTTTCTTTTTCTTCTGCTTTTTTTATTTCATTTGCACTGTTAATTAGAATTTAAGGTTTGATTTTTTTTAATTCGAACATTCTTGATGTTGTTTACGTCCATTCTTTTTAATCCTTAAAAACAAAATATGATTTCAAGGGATTTTAATTTTTAATTGAACTGAAAGAAGCAAAAATTGCCTTAATTTTATTTCCAGTTCAATTATTTCTTTAAAAAATTTTTTTCCTATTTTAAATACAGTTTATCGCTTCCAATGATTGTTTTCATGGTTTGCAAATTCAGAAGGATAGCTGTGTAAAACTAAGAAAAGTGTATTTTGGAGAGCTAAAAATTCAAAAAATTTAACTTCAGCGAACTGAAGCTGCAGTTTTATATTCTGTGAATGTGAATGATTGAATTTTGTAGTGAATAAAATGCAGAAGATTAATAAATCGTCTGAATAGCCGGTTAATCTAGCCTTCGGTTATCTGGTTTGAATCAATTCCAGTTCGATTTCAACAAATTACTTAAGTAAAATCAGTAAAAGCCTATTAGCAGTTTTGGAATATATAAAATTTATCAACATATTTCAGATTCCTGTACGTAAAAAAAAATGTCAGTTAATCAATCAGTCAGTGATGCAATCCGAAAGTTGATACCGAAAAATAAGGGAAAATCTGATGAGAACAAAAAATTCTATATCTAAATTTAGGATAAAAAATAAAATATGCATGCTTTAAAATTAACAAATTTCATTTTATTCTTCTCTAATAAGTTGTCTTGCATTATCGCAAATGTATTATTTTACCATTAGCACTTTTTTATTCGTTATGTTTTGTTATTTGAATAAATTGATTTTAAACTAAATTGTAACTCAGAGAAGTTGAAACATTATCCAAAATAAAGCTACTTCATCCGGTAACTAATGAAAAATTGTTATTTTTTAATGGAAATCATCTCATTTTTCTTTCAAATCATTTGTTAACTCTCTTCAATTTTGTATTAGTGGAATTAAAGAAGAAATTTGAAATTTTAAGACAAGGTGAAAACATTTAACTCATCTACTTCCTTTCTCTTCTTATTATAGCTAAATTGGAAACTAATATGGGCCATTTTTGATAAACAATTTAACCAAGAAAATTGCAGTCCTTTGAGTTGTTTAATTTTAATTTTGCGGTTTTTTTTTCTCTCTCTGTTTCAACGAAAATGATAAGACAAAGGAATGGTTTTTCATTTTGCATAACTCTTTTTATTCTATTCGTTTATGAAATATTTAGGCAATAATTCTAAAATGCAGTTATTGGAAAAAAATTAATTTCATTCGTGATTTTAAACATTATTCTAAACTTACACTAAACAATAGGGTTTATTATAATTTCCTGAAATGAACTAATCAGTCGATAAACCTATTTTCTAATGTTAAAAAGAAGAGCGATTGAATTTGATGAAAAATTTTTTTCTAATTTTTTAAACTTGATAATATCTGACTGATAATATCGGCAATATGTGCTGGAAAAATAATATCCAAAATTTTACAAAATGATCAAGTTAACTTACCTAACCATATGATATCTACCAGTAATTTGCTTCAAATCTTGATAACCTCAAATACATTTTTCACTTCTCTACTTTCTTTTTTTCGAGATTTTTTCATTCACTTTTATTTTTTTTATTCACTTTTAATTCATACTTAAAATTGCTCACTTTTCTACAAAATTCATTCCAATTTTTAATTAAATTTCCTTAGTCTTAAGAATGTTGTACTAGTTTGAAGTCAGTTTGAAGAAAGCTCTAACAAACAAAGTTAAATTGAAAATCGAATCTAATAGGCTGATTTAACAATACTGACGTTTAGCGATGCTGCTTGCAATCTAATCGGTAGTACAAATTAATAGCTTTCCTGAATGCATTGCTATAGTATTATGCTTATAAAACAATAAGCCAAACATGAAAAATTAATTTCAATAATTTAAGCCGGTATAGAAATTACTGTTGCTATTGAAATAATTATGGTGAAAAGGATTATGGTAATAATGTGACAGATTACTGTGAATTATCAGCTATGATATAAACCTTTTATGCTAGATAAAATTTGAACATTTTAATATAGGTTTGCATTGTAATAAATAGTGAACATAATCTAATTAAAATCTATTGTATCACATGGAGTACATTTAGATTACTCAGAATCTTCATTTTCATCTTGCAAGCTCAATTTTAACCATGTTTGAAAAACGTAGGAAAATTAGGTTTCGATCATAAATTGAACTTCATTACTTATTTATAGCTTCTGCTTCTTCTCATGTTCAGATTTAAATTGAATAAACATCTTACATGAATTAGAAATTAAAATTATGATTTGTATGTAATATGTTTTTTTTTTTGTTTAATTATACATTTTAAAACTCTTTCTCCGCAACAACTTCAATCCAATTTCTCATATCAGAAAAAATCAAGCGATTATGGCTTTTTTCATATTTCCTCAACAAACTGCAACAACAAACTAAGTAGAAATAAAAGCAAAAATAGCCTCAGCCCCACATAATTGATACAATCTGATCTCATTAATCAATGCCAAGGCAATATTCACAAATTGTGTCCAACTTTCCCTAAAATGAACAAGATTTAAAATACGAGTCAAGAAATCAATCATTTCATTCTTGAGTGATCAAAAGATTTATTTTCCACATCTCATTATATAAATTGAAAAATGTCCCACCATTACAAGTAATCTTAGCTTTCTTGCTTAATGCTTTGAAGATATTTCATACTTAAACATTATACCAAAAGATTACAATTTTAGTTCTTCATACTTTCATTTCAGCTTTTTTTATTTTTCTAAACAATTCTTTCTTTTACTTTCATCTTTTTTTTTTGTTTCATTCATCTTTTCTGATTTCTTTTCTTCATAAAATTCATCTTAATTCTCAAGAATTTTATTTTAATAAGCGAACTTATTCCATGCAGCAAACAGAAACAGAGATAAGAAAAAGAAAAATTTGTGTCAAATTTTTTTTCTTGTCTTATAAATTTCCTTACTACCTTTTTTATTCATACTTCTTATAGCATCTTAATAGCCTTTATAGATTTTTTCTTCTTTCTTATTTTTTTAATTTTTATATGAAACAATTTTTTTTTCTATTTGATAATGTTTGTCATATAAACAACTAAATTGAAAAGTTCAATGACAATATTTCATATTGTCATTGAAATTATCGTGTTACTATGACGTTATAGTTCCTATCAAATTAATGAAAAAGCATATATGCAAGAAGCATGCAAAAAACAATAAT